TGATGTGAAAGACCTATTATTATCATAAACTTGTGGCACTGAATATTTGTATTCTATTACTACAAATATATTACTTCCATAGTTTGAAATTGAAGATATGCAAATTGATGCAATATGATTTAAACTTCCTATAGCATAAGAAAAGAAGCATCAATTTGAACAAGATTAATGCTTGTATTTTAATAAAAAAAATACCACAAATCTAAAAATTATCCAAAAAAACAACTTACAACGAAGACTAGGAGTGTAATTGTTCAAAAAAATAAAGAGGCCCAACTACAATAAAGACTATGCAATTAGAAATTTTAACACCTCAAATTCATCAAGGTTCATTTTTTTGTTCAATTTGGTTGTTGTTTTATTATATCTTTATTTCTCAGCCTACAAAAACTTCAAAAAAATATCTTATTAGATTCAAGAGCATCTGCTTGTTTTTTAGATAAGGAGTTTTTTAAATTTCATAAAATTTTTCTACTACAAAAATCAAAACCTATACATATAAAAATAATAGATGATCAATCTTTATTTTTAAATAATATTAATTATAAAATTATACTACAATAAATATCATTTGAAGGTTATAGTAGCAAAATAATATTCAATATTATTAAAATCTCATTCAATTCTATTATTCTAGGATTTTTGTAGTTAAAAAGATATAATCCATTCATAGATTAGAGGCTTCAAAAGGTTGAATTTTTTATAGAATTTCTTTGGGTAAAACCTATTAAGAAGTTATCAATAATAAAATTCTTATTTCTTGAAGCAAAAGCTTTTGTGAAGATAGCTAAGAAAGAAATGCCATTTGTCATTTATGCAACTCCAGCTTGTGAAGAAGCAAGCTCATTAATAGCTATTCTAGAGCAATATAAGGAATTTTAAATTATCTTAAAAAAAAAATGCTAATATATTGCTCAAGCATCGAGTATATGATTTTACTATTAATCTTCAAGAATGACCTCAAGTACCATTTGATCCAATCTACAACCTATCGCAAAATGAACTTTTAGTAGTAAAGAATTAAATTAACAAAAACTCTTGAAAAGAAATTTATTTAATATTTCAAATCTTGAATAAGAGCACTAATATTTTTTATGAAGAAAAAATATGAATCTTTGCAAATGTGTGTTGATTATTACAACTTTAACTAAATAATGGTGAAGAATTGTTGTCTATTACCATTGATATCAAGGCTTTTAGAACAACTCTATTATGCCTAGATTGACATCAAAATAGATCTCCATAGAATATATAATTTGGTATAAATTAAAAAAAGAAATATATAAAAGATAATATTTTAGATAAGGTATGGATATTTTGAATATAATGTCATATCTTTTGGATTGACAAATACTCTTGCTATATTCTAGCATTTGATGAATGATGTTTTTCGAAAGTTCTTGAATGAGTTTGTTGTCTATTATCTTGATGATATTTTAATCTACTCAAAGACTTATATAGAACATAAAAAAACATAGAAATATTAGTCTTGTATATATTACAAGATGTAGGATTATATGCCAAATTGAAGAAATATGTATTCTATGAGCTAAAAGAAGATTTTCTTGGATATATTATATGTAATGAAGGCCTATTGGTGAAACCGACAAAAATTCAAGTTGTAGCAATATAGGCAATTTCAAAAACAATATAGAATGTATAATGTTTCTTTAAATTTGTTAATTTCTATTAGGTACTTATCAATAATTATTCCCAAATTCTTGTTCTTTTCACTTGATTGACATCCAAAGACAAATTCAAATGGGAACCTCAAGCACAAAAGACTTTTCAAGATTTAAAGACAACTTTTACTATAGTTTCTAATCTTTAAAAAGGCCTTTTATTTGGAAATTGGTGCTTCCAACTTTATATTAGAAGCTATACTATTATAAATGGAAAAGGATAGAAAACTCTACCTAGTTACATTTTATTCTAAAAAGCTTTTAGTTATAAAATTTAATTTTGAGATTCACAATAAAGTTTTTCTTGCAATTGAAGACTCTTTTCAAAAATGGCATCACTCATTGGAAGGCACTACACATCATGTGACTATATATATAGATCACAAAAAATTAAAGTATTTCATGTTAGCTTGGATTTTGAATTGTTGCAAAGCTCATTGGAGTATATTATTATCTTGTTTTGATTTTGTAATTACATAGCAACTAAAAAAGCAACAAGAATTATTAGATGCTTTATTAAAGAGATTACATCTTTTTCCAAAGGTTAAAAAAATAGTATTTGATTAGCAATATAATACTCTCTTGAAGCCAGAACAATTTTATCTTTGTATTATTTCTATGATTATACATATTGATTCAATTTTACTTAAATAAATTTATACAAAATGAACTAAGGATTTATTAATTTTTAATATCAAGTAACATCCTAGCAAAGAAAAGTTTAAGTTTAAAAAAAATCTTTTATATTTTGAAGATTGTTTATATATTTTAGAAAGACTAATCCAACTTTGCATTCTTCAATTTTTTCATGATTTTTTGCTACATGACATTTTGAATTTAATAAAATATTAGAGCTTATTTCTTGAGATTTTTGGTAACTTCAAATGTGAAAGACCATGAAGGATACCATTTTCTTATGTGACATCTATTCAAGTTCTAAGAATTCTTGACATCATTCTTATAGATTTCTATAGCCATTACCAATTTTGAAACAACCATGGTCTTTAATAACAATGGATTTCATTGTTGATCTGTAACCATCAGCTACATTTGATGCTATATATATTATTACGGATTGACTTGTAAAGATGGCACATTTTGTCCTATGCAAAAAGATAATTTTTGAAGAAGAAATGGCAAGGCCCTTTTTTGATTATATATATATATATATATATATATATATATATATATATCTACTTGATGACATCATTTTTTATTGAGAACCTCAATTTATATCATCAAATTTTTGAAAATTTTTATTCAAGATATTGAAAGTAGATATCAAACTTTCTTTTGTCTTCTACCTTCAAATCAATTATCAAACGAAATGAGTGAATGAAGTTTTTGAGTAGTATTTATGTATCATCAACTATTAACAAGATGATTGGACCTCATATTTATCTTTATCAAAGTTTGCTTATAATAATACTGTTTATGCTTCAATTTAGCAAATACTATTTTATGCCAATTATGGTTACCATCCAAAGCTTGATTTGTTACATACATCAAAGAATGATAATTTAGCAGCTAAAGATCTTATAAATTAATTGTCACAGCTCCAAATTTTGAATCTCCATTTACAAGTAATTCAAGATTCTTATAAAGTAACTTTAGATAAATTTTTTAAAAAAAATTCTTTGCTTTTCAAGTTGGAGATAAAATATGGATTCTTCAACAAATTATCAAGATCAATCGGCCTTGTGATAAGTTTGACTATCCAAGATTGGAGCCATTTTGTATTCATAAGCAAATCAATCTAATGGCTTATCAATTAGAACTATCCACATCTATGAAGGTACATCTAGTCTTTCATATTTCTCTCTTAGATACTTATTCAAAATCAACTATTCCAAGAAGAATATAACCATCATTGCCTTGCATTGAAATGGATAATTATATAGAATATGAGGTAGAAAAGATCCTTGATTCTTAGCAAAGAAGATGCAAGTTGAAGTATTTTATTCATTAGCACGGCTACAATATCAATGAATGTACATGAGAAGTAACAAAAAATCTAATTAATGTATTACAAATAATACAAGAGTTTCATCAATAGTATCTTCAAAAATTTAAACCTATTTTAAGATGACTTTTCTATAAAGCTACTACTAAGATGTTGTATATAATGAAGAAAACTAATATAAAACTAATGTTCCTCGTGGAATTTAGAATTAGAAAGAAAGATGATATTATAGACATCTAACAAGAAGATTTTAGAAATATTCTTAAAATGTTCTATTAAGTTTTAGAAGATCCTTAAAATATTCTAATAGAAGTCTTTAGAAAGATTTTTAGAATATTTTAGAAGATTTTAAAAGATTCTTAAAATATTCTAATAGATTTTAAAAAGTTCTAAGAAGATTAAGGAAGTTGTTTAAGAAGCTTCCTAGGATTGCTTCATTTTTAAGTAACATATAAACTCCTCAAGAAGCTTCTTAAGGTTGCTTCATTTTCAAGCAACATGAAAACTTTTCAAGAAGCTTCACAATACCTTGTATACATTAGAGTCCAAGCTAGGAGATTGTCAATCTCAATAACACATCTTTTAAAGTTCTAGTTCATCTCTCTTGGTATTGATCTTATATTCATTTGATTTAAACAAGTTCTGGCTAATTTTCTTATTGAAACTCTTCTACTCAGCTTCTTGTTTGGTTTCTTGTATAGTGTATCCGTGACATTGCCTCCACACTCAAAAGAGAGTTAAAACCTACATGCTTGGTTTGCGTCTATTTTTGTAGATATCCAAAATCCCCACCCCCCTCTCACCTCTCTTCTTTTCCTCTACACCTCTACACTTAAAAGTGAATTAAAACATGTTTGCCTCAATTAAAACATTCCCCCACACTCATAAGAGAGTTAAAAGGCCATCCCAGCCATTGAAAATCTTCGACCACACTGCATGAACTCAAATTTACAAAATGATTGCTGGGTTGTCTTTTTTTGCTGTTAACTGAGAGCATTGATTGTATCGTAAAGTCAAGCAGAATTCTCATGCTGTTTTTTCCTTGCGAATGTTACGTTCTCCTCTCATGATTTAGCATCTAGTAAACTTTAACCTTGTGAAGCGTAAGTGCTCATTACCACGGATTTCGCCCTAATTCCTTCCAACCAAGCAATCAGCTCAGTTGAGCATGTATGCAACAGTACCTCGTGTTGCTTAGGTTGCTGAGTATAATCGAGTGAAGCACGTTCCGGAGAATTAGGGTTAACTCTTGAAATTACCAACTGACTTTTCTTCATCACTCAGGCAAGAACAAAATCGTTGAATAAATGGTATATCTGTGGCATACAGCTCCAGAAGCAAAGCACTGCAAGAAAACAAGCACTCGAGGAAGAACATATCAGAAAATTCAAGTCGTGGTTATGATTTCGACATGATCCGCATCGCAGAGTAAAAATATGAGACACTTTCGGCAGAATACCCATCATAGGCTTGCCTCTCAAAATTTGTCAGACTTCAGGAATTCTCTGCTAATCGCTGCGTTCCGAATCATTGACAAATGGCGTTGAGAAGGCTTCTGCGGCTTGTGACTGTTGTGGCTCAAGACTCGGTTAGGGTCATTGGGGCGCGAGCCAGGAGAGGTACGCCAAGAAGCCGCTGGGAACCTCTGAGAGCCGCGGGGAACTGCTCGGGAGCCGCCGTTGTTGCTTCCGACCAACGATAACTTCTTGTGTCATCCTGCCCGATTTGTGAAGTGGTGATTGTGAAAGGCGATTGGGAGCTACGCATATCTGGTGCTGATGATAGCCTGCAAGGATTCTGGTTTTGGGGATTTTGCGTTTCAATGGTGCTTCCTTCGTTGCGCATGAAGAGTGGGAGCAGACTGTAGTGGTTGGAGCTTGTAAATTGGAATGTATAGATCGAAGATTGAAGTTTGATTGCTCCTTCCCGTCTTCGGTATGTTTTCAACTTCTTTTTTAGAAGTTTACACGTCTTGGACTCTGGAACTTCGAGAAAGGTGCACTAATCGTCTGAGAGTACGCTTTTAGATTCATTGCTTCTGGGGCGGAAGAGATGATCCTTATTTAGATGAGTCCGTTGGGAGGTTTTTCTAGTTTTCATTGAACAGAGTTGCTGGGAGGGTCGATACTCATTTGGTAGTGAGGCAAGTTTGATCACGAAGGCGTTTGCGTGTAGAAAGTGGTTCTATTGAATGGATTACATGGCGACTTCGGTAACTATTATATCATGATGATGGGATTCTGAGGCGTGTAAATTTTTGAAGTTTAACATTTAGGGTACTTTATTCAGAGTGATAGTTCCCATGATGCCGTCTTGGGAGGGTTGATGGTAGTGTTTTCTGCAAATTTCTTTGCAATTTTGATGTAACGTGTGTGATCCCAGCTGTATCGTGCAAACTTTCTTTTCCTGCAAGAAATTGGGGTAGTTGCCAAAAACTTCAATCTTAGAGGTTACTGTGCACTTCTAGTGCAGGTTAATTTTTTTCAGGGTTGCTGTATATCAGGGCATAAGTGTGGTGAGCTTCAATTGCTTCATAGTCGGCAGCTTGAATCCTGCTGGGTGGATTAGTCGCATCATGGACAAGCTCTATTTAGATCAAGAAAATGAGCGGGATGTGGACGATCTGCTGGCACAAATCAACGATGAAAATATTTTGAAAATGTCTGTTAATATTCATCACAAGGGCGCTAACAGGATGCGCACTCCGTTCTTGGAAGACCAAGAGCTGGGCAATCAAGGAATCAATGCTGAGCTCGAAGCTCGCTACGCAAGTTTGAAAGCCCCACGCCCTAAAGCAAAGGAGAGGGGAACAATCTCCAGAAAATCGAAGCAGATTGACATCCTAAAGACTGACGTGTCCGCAAGTTCAAAACGGTGTAGTAAAGCGGCGTCAAAAGGGGAACAAAGTGTATCTCAATCAAAGGCTGCAGTGAGTGATGAGGGGGACAGTTTGAATGCAGAGTTGATTGCCAGATTCCAAGCACTGAAAGGGCCTTCGGTGCCTCAAGAGGTAGGGTTACTAATTCAAAGACCTAGGAATACGTCCTTTGTAAGTTGATGAATTTGGGTTTTATGAGACTCACTACGTTTTACCAATCTTCCAGTTGTCAGATGGAGAGGCTTCTTTAAAATCTGGGAGCTCAGGATCTAACACACCAATCTTAAGTGAACACCTCAAAGCTTTAAAGACTCGCTCGAAGAAGTCTCCTCAGATGTCTCCGTCTCGTCCAGATTATCCCCCTGGAGTAACTGTTTCCTCTACTTCCGTGGGTTCCTCTGGGTGGTGTGCCCCTGCATCTCCTTTCAAGATGATGAGGGTAAACAAAAATTTCCAGTTACTCAAGTATTCTTGAGATTTGCATGCAATCGTGAAGATCAGTGCTTTCTTGGTGATGTATGTACTTGGGTGAATTCGCTGAGTTTGCTTTTTTTCATGGGGAATCCATTCTCTACTTAATTCTGATTGTTAAGTACTAGGCGCAGTCTAGTTTCTTGTTAATTAAGCTGCATGTGACATTTTGCACAGGTGCTGAGCACTAAAAAGTCTGGTCCCGATTCATTGGGACCAGTTTCACGCTCTTCCTCGCATTCCTCTCAGACTAGAGATGCGAAAAAAGCAATCAAGAGAAGCCTGTCGCACACATCCAAAGATGATGATCAAGAGGATCCTTCAGCAGTTGTAGCAGATGTTCAGAGGCTACTTGCAGCCGTTTCTAAGGAAGGACGCTCAGAGAGAGAACAGTGCACTGCAAAGGAAGCCTTGCTTGTAGAGAATAAAAGAGCATTTAACATGAAGGATCGAGATACTGAACTTTTGAAAGCCATGGAGGATGAGGAGGCAATAGCTCTGGAAGCGGAGAAGGTAAACAAAGAAAATCTTTTATCTACTTTGAAGTGAACTGTAAAGTCTACGCTTTGGCATTGTGCATGGACTGCAGTGCCCAACGTCTGACTTTTCGTAAGATGATAATCTTAGATTCGAGGGTTTACTGAGTTTCTTGTTTATTTGCTCTCTAGGTGGTGGAGTGGGCAAAGGACAACGCACGACTTGAAGGTTCTGATGAGGAATTTGAGGATGAACTGGATATAGAGGTTACTGATTCGGATGATTCTGACGACTCAGCAGGAGCGAAACTCATGAACACGAAGAAGAAGACTAGCCTTCTTGAGGATGCAGATCCAGAGGAATCGAAGAAACGAAAGGGACGGAGGCGGTGGAACTTCCTCTAAATTTCTTGCGTAACTGGTTACATATTCTTGTGTATGCTTCTTGTAATACTGAGTTCCACAATTGCGGCATTGTTCAGATTTTCTTTTAAAAAATGACGTATCTGTTCGAAAGTACTCAGTGAAATATTCTAGAGTTTTCTTGACACACCTGGGTGTTGTTCCTCAGTGTATCATAACAAGATGTATCCCGTGGTTAATTCCTGCCAGATGGAGCTCGCAGATGTTAATTTCTATTTTGTAGGTGAACATGTATTTTGGAGTAATCGGAAATTTTACTATTGCGCTGCGTGGAAGCAAGGCGAAGCATATGTCTATGGCTTCGCAGAAATATGCGCTCACTGCATCCGGGGATTTGCACCAAAAGGGTTGAGAACATGATCTATCCTACTGATAGTTTACAGGCCTATATGATGGTGCTATCAAGTAAAACGCACTACCTTCTTTATAAAACTTTGGAAAGTCCATTGGTTAAGCTGCAGTAAGGAATGAGGTTCATACGTTTTGCCAAGTTCACCTTTCTGCTCATTCAATCTTGAGCGTGTCAGGATCTCTTCTCTTACTTCATGCTTATTTTTGTTGTGGAATTTGCTAATTATGAACATAGCCTGTCTGATGTTGCCTCACTGTAGTAGATGAATCAGTTCAACAAATCAACTGTCCATATCCAAAAATTTGCCTCAATTAGGTCGATTCATGTAGCTAAACAAAGGAACAAACTTTTCTAGGATGCAGTAAACCGTGATAGTGTTGTCTGGATTTGAATCATTCTATCATGACAGTACAGTAGTAAGAAGCAGTTGGTTCAATTCATGTTGCATATTGAAATACCCTCAAACCTAGATGAATTTAATTCATTTGAGTGCTCCAAGTCACTGCCTCGTTCTTTCAGTAACATTTTGATATGGATGTTATTCTTCGAGGAGTTTTAAAATGGAGCTGGAACATTTGTACAATCTTTTGATTTTTGGGATATGAAATCTCAAATTAAGATGGCCAAAGTGGTGAAGTCAGAATAATTGACAAGGGGAGATTTCAGTGTTGGTGCCGAATCCTGTTGATTTCTTGCACATCAACAAGAGACATATATTGTGTATATTCTGGGTTCAGGGAAACGAAGTTGTTTTAGACTTGGGGATTAAATAGCGTAACACTAATGTCTAGTAACGTGATGGAAACAGTTGATTCAATGCATTTTTTCAGCTTTCAAAATTTCGATCTTACAGCGTTTCTGAGGAAGTTCTTAGGCTTGTTTTGAAAAAATAGTAATTGTCGTTATTCTACCTCAAGTAAACAAGATTGCTTCAGGAATATAAACAAAACCTATCAAAATGTGATCCTAAATGAAACATGGAAATCATGTTAGATTTGAAACAATAAAACGCTTGATTTTTCATGACAAGTGAAATTGAAGGATTAGAATTTAAATATAAATGGTCGGGAAACTTACAATTTTTAACCTACAATATGAAGATATTTTAGTACAGAATCTTGGAGCTATCTTTGTCATGTTATGAACATTATATGCAAACAACACATATATAAATGTTTTTGCTTTAGGGGAAATTTCACTTATGAATGCAAAGAAATAAGTGTATATGTAAATAAGAATAACTAATAATACAATAGTTCTTGAAAGATCCATCTACGAAATCATTTCCAATGATTTTCCAACAATATACCTAAATAAATACTAACATTTTAATACATACAAATACTGATATTGATCAAATCAATAATTGATGTTGATGTACAAGATTTTTTCAAAAAATAAAACAGAAACTGGATAATAAAACAAGCTTATAATGAACATTTCCATGCAAGATGACAGGTTTATTTGTATTGGAATGTTTACTTTATTTTATTAGACCTAATTTTTTATATTAGAAAAAATACAATAATTGAACACACGCTTTTAAAATGTTACTAGACATTGCCCATTCATACGACAATCTGTGGATGTTATCTACTAGATTAATTTTTAGGTTGAGTTTTATATATTTGGTATAATGTATAGCACATAGGTAATTCTTTTAAATTTCAATACCATAATGTCAAATTACAGGATGAAATTTTTATACTTCAAACATTATAAATACATAAAATTAAAAAAAAAAATCTTGAAAAAATACCTTTTCCAGTGTAAAATTCATCACTTGTATTAACATATTAGTTTGTAAAATGAGACTTGTCACAAAATATGGTATAATAGGACTTGAAATGCAATTTTCCCACAAGCTTTAAGCAGAACATCTCATTAATCCCCGTTCATGTTGAAAAATTTATTTATTTATTTATTTGGTGGTAATTCATGTATCTTACAAAATGTATCTTAAATTTCATCAACTTGTGTGCAGTTTTGATATATTATCAGTATAAATTGCTTAAGTGTTAAAATTTTCAAATAAATTATATCATACTACAAGTTAACCATTAAGTATCCATATTTATTTTGAAAATAACATAATCACTTGTATCCAAAACTCAAACATTACATATTATTATTACTTCATAGAAATGATTTAATTTGGACCTTAATATTAATAGTGGACAACACTTATCCATAAAGAATAGCTTTTGGATGTTCTACAATAAACATGAATATAACTGCTTTAATCGTTCAAGTGTCATTCAAAAACCTCCAAGTAAATTGATGCTAAATTACTTCTAAACCGAAGTAGATCATTGTCAAAATGTTATAACCGACTCCTAAACTGTATTTAAAAAATACATATATGCTTAAAAAATATACAAATGTGTCCAACATACTTAAACAAATCATTTTTCCATATTAGAATAAATTGGACTATTGGGTCAAAGTTTCAAAGCAAGAATTGGGAATTAGAGCAGAAGCCTGAATTATGTCGCCACAAAAGTCCACAATCTGCTAAGTCTAGAAAACTCCAACCAGTTCTATGGATGAGACCCCACCACCGTGGATGTGGGGGGGGGTCCATAATAATAAGCCTGCGCTAACGCCCGGGAAGCCCCCGGTGTGTGGATAAGGAGTTTCCGTGGAATCCCTATCACCGCGCCTCGCCTGCGACCGGGATCCATGGCCGGGTCGCAAGGCCATCCGCCATAGCCAGAACAAGGAGACTCTCTCAGGCCCTGACTAGCATTGCTCAGTCCTCGTCCGATTCGCAGATCACCGAATTGGGTTTGTCATTGTCGCCACTGACATCACGAAATTGCAGCTCAATTGGCAATTTGTAGGACTCCGGGATGGCTGCCCTCGGGACGCAAGCGTTGTCGCTGCTGAGCTCGCATCCGCAGGGGATTCTCGCCAAGGGCTCGAGGTTGTCGTCGGCGTCATCGAGCTCGACCGCGATTCCTTTCTTCACTGGGTTTCGCGGCGATTCGAATGTCAAGGCAGCGAATGCGCCAGTGGAGTCATGTGCTTTCAAAGGGTGTGTAGTTACGCCAGTGGCATCTCTGGAGGATGAGGAGACTGTGGCAGTTCTGAGCAGGAGGAGTGTGTTGGCTGCGAGTACCGCTGCATTGTCGCTCGGGGCCCTTTCGGGAGGAAGCGATGGAAATGATGCAGCGCTGGCTGACGAGACAATTTCTAGCTGGGAACAGGTTACGCTTCCCGTCGACCCTGGCGTCGTGCTGCTTGACATGGCGTTTGTACCTGATCAGCCCGACCGCGGTATGCCTGACTGAATGCTTCTCCACTTTTCCAGTTTCTAAATATGTCATAATTCATCACATCTGTACAATGTCGATATCATTCAATTGCTGCTTCATGATATGTGCATAATTGCTTCTGTCTGTAACCATCATGTGCATTGTCTTTCCGAACTTCTCGAGATTCGGACTAAAGAGATCATGACCTCTTTCTTAAAGTTCTAATACAATAAGAGATTTTAAAACAGTAAATTATCCTGCACTTCATGCAATTCTTCGTGAATTACACTTTCAAGGAATTAGGATTTTCAGCTCTATTGATATGAATGTCACGAGCTCGGAAAGTAGGTCTTGTCTTTTGTGTACACAAGTTACCGGTTTAGATCGCTTGTGAGTGACTTTCTTTAGGAGATTTCTTAAATGTAGATTTTAAGTTAGACTTTTGAGTCCTTTGATTCAAGCGGAAGTCAAATTCAGATTATGGTATTACTCTGTGGAATTCACTAGAACATTGAACTTTCTCTCTTCAGGTTTCTTGTTAGGTACTCGACAGACATTGTTGGAAACGAAGGATGGGGGTCGGTCGTGGAGTCCACGCAGTATTCCATCTGCCGAAGATGAGGACTTTAACTATAGGTAATACTTTGTCGGTCTAGCATTTTCCTTAAGAACCTGTAAGGAAGTCTGGTGATTGACGGTTATCGATGTCTGCGCATTGTAGTAACCTGTAGTGTTACTCTTGGACCTTCACATTGTAAAGTTGCAAATATGTGTTGTCGCTGGTTCCTATGAGGATCTGTCGAACATTCTTATAGCAGGCGGTAGGTCAGTTGAAGGCAGTTTTTCACACTGCCTTAAGACCTTTGCAGGTTTAACAGCATCAGCTTCCAAGGTCAGGAAGGATGGATTATTGGCAAGCCAGCCATTCTGCTGCACACCAGTAATGGTGGAGAGAGTTGGGAGCGCATCCCTCTCAGTGTTCGTCTTCCCGGAAATCCTGTAATTCTTTTAACCTGTGTTATGAGTTTGGAATGTCGGCCAGGTTTTTGTTCTTTAGTTAGGAAATAGACGCCATTGATATTTCATAGTAAGCAATATTAAAATGTCCGTCCTGGCGATTCAGGAGCTGCCTAGTTTCTGGTGTTATTCTCTTACTTTCATTTTCCACAATTCCTTGGATGCATATCTTTCAAAAATTATCGCGCCTCGCCAAGCGCACGACATGGCATCTTTTCCTTACAGTTAAAATGCATAATACAGATCACAATCAGGGGCACGGGGCCGCAGAGTGCAGAGATGGTAACCGATGAGGGTGCCATTTACGTTACATCAAACAATGGGTACAACTGGAAGGCCGCTGTGGAAGAGACTGTCTCTGCTACCCTGAATAGGTAATTCTCTAGCATGGATCTGGAAAGAATTTCAAAAGGATTGGCTTCACTCTCCAATTTGCAGTTAACTTTTCATACTTATGCTGGAACTGTAGCTCGTCTTATGTCTTCTCTATTCTGTCAATCGTTCTAAATCTTTGGCCACTTCATCCGGAGAAGAATCGTTTCTTTTCCCAAATCAAGTTCCCCCTAGTTTTCTCGATATAGATCTTAACGAATCTCTTCTTATCAAAAAGAAGACCAGGGTACCTAACTTTTAGCATCTAAAAACGCAGTTTTAGACGATCCTGTAGTAAAACATTGTTTATTCAAACCTCTGGAAAGGTTTATAAGTAGTCTGAGCAACGTTACTCACTACAGAGGGAAATAAAAAGATCGTGTTGTGAGTCCCGTTAGTAGGAGACTGATTCGTTGATATCTCAGCTTCTACTTTAGTATTTGATTAATTAGTACCCTTCTGGCTGCAGAACTGTGTCAAGTGGAATCAGTGGAGCCAGTTACTACACTGGTACTCTCAACACAGTGAACAGGTCATCAGCCGGTGATTATGTCGCCGTTGTCAGCCGTGGAAACTTTTTCTTGACTTGGGAGCCTGGACAGGTAACAAAAACCCATTCTTTTGTTCGAATTGTAACTTACACTCTAACAACAGACAGTCCCAAGCTGTGATTTAAATAGTTCTGTTGCAATGAGATGATTGCCCTCAACGTTGCCTTAGAAACGTGATTTGGAGAAGGGTATGCTCAATAGGATCCTTTGTTTTTTGACTGTTTCAGCCATACTGGCAACCTCACAACCGTACGAGTGCACGCCGAATCCAGAATATGGGATGGCGAGCAGATGGTGGGTTGTGGCTGGTGGTTCGCGGAGGTGGACTCTTTGTCAGCAAAGGCACTGGGGTATGTACTTCTCACTTAATGTATACATGCGGCAAAGTTAGAGGAATCCATTCTGTGGTATACTCGGTGCAGATGTTGGCGCTGTGCTTCTGAAGGTCTTTGGCAGGCTTTGTAGAAATAAATGCTACAACTTTGTGCCTAGTGATCGGGGAATCTGTACCAACAAATCATTATGCTTACCTACAGTTACTCCTTCGAGCTCCTCTGGTATTACATAAGCTTGAGTATGTGATAGGGGGGCGTGGGAACTGGAATACACGATAAAGGGTGTAATGGAGTATATGGTTGACAATCCACTTTTGTAGTAATGATTCAGCAAATCGTTGTTGTTATTAAAGGTGACGGAGGATTTCGATGAGCAGAAAATTCCAAGCAGAGGTTTCGGTATTCTGGATGTTGGGTATCGATCCAAGGTAATTTTTTGGTCCCTAGCATTGTACTAAAGCTTTCTTTGTTGTAACAAACAATTTTCTTTTGTTACCTAGAACATCCTTCTGGCTCCCGTCCAGGAAACGTCATTTAAACGGGCATGTGACCTTAATTTCCATCCCACCCTTCTGTTGTCTACCGTACAGGACGAAGCTTGGGCTGCCGGAGGCAGTGGCATCTTGTTGAGGACAACGGACGGAGGAAAATCATGGATCCGTGACAAGGTCGCAGACAAAATCGCTGCCAACTTATACTCTGTAAAGTAAGATACTGTTCTCCAACCAAAGCATTCTTTGAGTAATGGCCATACTAGATGAGGTACCTTTTGTGGTGTTAAGATAATGAGAGCTAGTCATATTTAGACCAGTATAAGCCTGTGAACAATGATCTCATTAGCAATGTGTGCCATTTTTTTTTTTTGAAGTATGTTCCTGGATTCTTGATATGCAATAGCACATCAAACTAAACATCATGCTTTACTGCACAGGTTCATTAACGACAAAGGTTTCGTGCTGGGCAACGATGGTGTGCTTCTGCGGTACCTTGGTTGATTATATCATGTATCTATCTAGATTTTGACGGGAGCAAGCCAACTAGGTGAATTTTAGTACTGAGCAGCGCCTTTCCAATTCTTTGTGTCATGGCTTATTTTTGTTAATGCATAACACCCTTTCATGGCTGGAAAATGTTTGAGCACGTGGAAAGGAGCAGCTTTTATTGCTTCTGTTTCTGTACGATGGAAATGAACTGGTTCTTATTGCTCAAGTGGAGATTCATCTGATACCCGAATAGGGGTACCAGAAGAACTGTGGATTACAACTGATCTGCTTTTATGAAGTCAAAACTTCATTGCTGTGCACAAGTGCACAAAGCATAGATTCATCATTCGGAGCAGAGAACCTAGAGGGATTTTTGAAACATTTCAGCAGCAGTTCCACATTCTCAAGCCTCAAGTGTCACTAGATTGTATTCTTCATTTCTTCTATCGTTTTTTTTTTTTTTTTTTTTTTTTTTTTTCTTTTCTGTTCTTTTCTTTCATGATCTATTTATTTTTATCTTCCCTTCAGTCAGTCTCTCTCTCTCTTGGTGTTTTTTGTTTATTACTCAAGATTTTATTCGCTGGATGTTTTCAACTCATGAAGTAAAACAGAATATAGGAAGATTTGAATCATTCACGTACTCTTTGATAAGTAACTTTAATTATCAAAGTATCATTGTTTCCTTGCATTTTCACAGTTAAAATAGTTGTAATAATGTATAACTTGTTACTCTAAATTTTTTATTTCTGCAACTAAGGTGTATTTGTCATGCAATTATGGATTCCAATATTTAATTGAGGTAGGTGAAAAGAAATGAAATTTCTGCAAATTCAATAGAGATTTTGATTGAACTCCCAAAAACAAACATAACATATGTTGGTCAATAATACTGCAAATCATGTTTCACCACCACAGGCAAATTATACTTGTTGTTCAATGTGCTGTACGGTGGTAAAAAGATTTGCACATCAAATTCAAGCAGAAGAGTAAACCCAATAATGAACACTACAAGAAAAAATATGAGAAAAGCGTCTCTTTTTTCTTTCTCTTTATTTTTCCCTCCTAAACTTACAAATTTAGTTAATTGTAACACACATTTTGCCAACAATTGGTTGTAGATTTTATAAGAACATATTAATTCCTTGATCATGCTCAAGATTTGTAGAGTTTAAACTGTACAAACTGCAACAACTGATTGTAAATATATTTTAACTTTTTTATTAAATCAGTAGGAATCAACTAATTCAGAGGTGCAATTGAAAGATTGCTCATCAAAATAAAGATTAAATACGGGCATCAATGCCTATGCAAATGCAAGATATTAACAAATACTTATCTAGTTCAAAACATATTAAAATAAACAGGTGATGGATTTAATTGCAGTGACTAGACAACAAAAAATCTATAGACTCTCAACTTGTACCAAATAAAGACATAGAAAAAAGAGTATTATATAGAAAATTCTTATAATAAAATACATTAAAAAGCATCACCAGGCCAAATTCACATAAGAAACCATACTTTGGTAGCCAGGTTGTACAAACTACAACCACTAAGCAGGGTCGCAACTGCTTGTAGAATAATAATTATTGTTACTATTCTTACTATTAATCAACAACAAGTGCCAAAGTGCACAAATCCTTCTCTATCATGATAAGTCTCAATGACTAAATGAACGAATGAATGACATTCAAAGTCGAGATGAATGTGATAAAACCTGAAAAAGAGTGTTAAAAGACAAAAAAGCAGGGGGTGATGTAGTTAATACCAATTCCATGCTGGCTGTTGTACATGGAAAGGATGCAGAGGAGGAGGAACCATGGCTTGGCTTGCACTGGCTGGCCAGCTTTCGTGCTCTCATTCATGTGTTGTTGGGATGGATGAGGAAATCACCTGGTCCTCCTCCGCAATGAAGACAGGAAGGAAGGAGCAGAGATATTGTTATTATTATTATTATTATTCTTATTATTATTCTTATTATTATTCACAAGGAGACCCCAACATTCGGAAAAGCGGGCCATGGACACAACACACACACACGCACCGTTACCCGTCCAATCGAGTTGGAAAAAGCAAGACCAGGGAGGGAGGGATGGCTCACCCCATATAGAAGAAGAATCGCATCCGGGGGCGGGGGGGGATTACCCCCCGCCATTAAGTTCAACTGACGCGTGACGAAACCGACGTCAGCTGACGAACGAACGAACGAACGACTCACCCACCCCGCGCACGAACCCACGACGAAACACTCCGGCTGACGCTGTCGCCAGCACTCGGATGGCATTGGAACCCACATCTCACCGCAACCGGGTCCTCCCTCACTTCCCCTCTTCTCTTACTCTTTTACTTACTGTTGGTTTTCCAGGCTACATGAACCCAGACACGGGAGTTCTCCTGGGTCGGACCCCCTTCCGAACCCTAGCTTAGATCGAAGTCGTCTGGAGCCCGCCTCAGGCACTGCCTCGCCATCGAATTGTCGCTCTTTTGTGCTGACAATGACGCAGCTGGTTTTTGGTCCTGTTTTGGTGCGGATTGGCGGAGTTTAGGGCTCCTTGGCCTGGGCTATGGCGTGTTCGAAATTCGGTAGCTCGGCGTGAGGTGAGGTCGGAGCTATGCGGCTCTCGGGGATGGTGGAGCGGAGGGATGGTGGTGGTGTGGTTGGTATGGTCCGGCGGGGGAGTAAGCGTCGAATGGGTCGGCCTGTGCCGGCGGAGTGAGGTGCGGTTCGGCTGAAGCGAGAGGGGGTGAGGGGGAGAGCGCGGAGCAGGGATTGTGGTTGCAACGGTCATGGACGAGATTGGTGCCATTGAGCCGCCACGGACGGACGCGCAAGATTTAGCGGAAGAGAGGGAGTGTGGGGAGAGCGAGAGGGGGAGGGGCGTAGGTGTTGGAGGGGAAAGCGGCAATCGGAGCCATCAGCAACTACCGGACGGAGACCCTGACGACGAAGAGGATGTGTGTCGAATTTGTAGGACGCCCGGGGACGAGGAGTCGTCGCTGTACCATCCTTGTGCCTGTAGTGGCAGTATCAAATATGTGCACCAGGAGTGTCTTTTGCGGTGGCTCAATCATAGCAATGCTCGGCAGTGCGAGGTATGGCTTCGGTCTTGGCAGATGTCTGGGCCATGGAGGAGTCGGTCTACGAGGGCGTATTCTGTGCAGGGTTTTGCGTGGGATGTTACAGGTTGGGGTGGAACGGATCATCGGCGCCGGAGAGATTCCGTGGGTAGGTTTGGCGCGCGTGGATCCAATTTTGGGACTGCCGGTGGTCGGAATCTCCGGTGCTGCATATCGCGTAATCCTCGATGATAGTCTACGCCTGTGTTTTTTCCCGGATTTTTGCTAGAAATAAGGAAGGTGGCGGATCCACATTGTGTCGGTGACTGGGTGAGAGGTGGGTTGGAATCCGTAATGGAGCGTGCAGGAGCTGAAAACGGACGGATCTTTTGTGCCCTCTTAGATTTTGACCTGCAGCATACCCCGATGGCATGTTGTCATTTCGAGTGTTTTGGGAGCGATTATTATCGTGCGGTTAGGACCCGTGCCTGGCGGGGCGGGGCGAGCCTTGCTGGGGGATTAGGTTTTGGCGAGTTGGTAGTCGAGTGGTTTTGCTTAAGATAGGGCGAGAGAATGACCATGTCTTGGGTTTGCAATGCAGGTGTGCAAGCATATGTTTGCATTTTCGCCCGTGTATGCACCTGACGCGCCTGCGAGGCTGCCTGTGCGGGAGCTGTTCCTGGGCATGACATTGAAGGCTTTTAAGGGGGCACGGTTCTTCGTTCGCCTTCTGTTTGTAACCTGCGTGTGGCTTCTGCTGATTCCGTTTGTAACTCTTTGGATTTGGAGGTTTACGTTCGTGCGGAGTTTGGTGGAAGCGAACAGTCTGTTTTACAGCCGATGGACTTTTGGTCTGCTACTCACAGACTGCCTGCACGGGTTCCTACTGTCGGCTGGAATCGTGTTTATCTTTCTGGGCGTGACATCGTTGAGGGAGTATTTTCGGCACCTGCGAGAGGTAGCTGGAGGGCAAGATGGCGACAGGGAGGACGACGCAGTGGACAGGGGCTTGGGAGGCCGAGCTGGCAGGCGCTTAGGTCAGGTGGTTGCTGGAGTGAGAGGTTTTGGAGGCGATGGGGGTGTGGCAGTGGGAGGTCCGCACGCCAATAACGAGGTGGCTGTTGTGGCTTTACCTGCCCAGGGTCTCGCAGCTGGAGCTGGCCAGTTGCTGCGGCGGAATGCCGAGAACGTGGCTCTTCGGCTGGAGATGCAAGCTGCACGGCTGGAGGCCCATGTGGAACAGATGTTTGATGCAGTGGAAGACGTGGACGGTGCCGAGGATGTGCCATTTGATGAGCTTGTGGGAATGCAAGGCCCCGTTTCCCACTTACTTGAGAATGCCGTCACAGTAAGTTCTAGCGATCGTGTTTCAGTCGGACGCACGGCAATGTGAGCAGACGATTTAGCAGTTGTTGTTAAGGTTGCATGTAGATTAAACGGGCAGGGGATGCGGTTCCAGGGGCTGATGTTCGTGGCCTTTCGGGTTTTAACTAACAGTGTATGGATGTGGGCTTGTGTGCGCAGGTGCTGCTGAGCAATACGATCTTTCTGGGAACGGTTGCTCTGATACCATTTACTCTTGGTCGGATCATTATCTTCGTTTTTTCGAAGATAATGGTAGCCACTGGGAGCGCCGGAACCATGGCACGTTGGTCAGAGACAGCCACGGGTGTGTTTGATGGGAATGGGAGCTCTCTGGTCCAGGGTCTGGTCATCAGTTCTGCCGCTCGGTTGATGGGGGAACTGAAGGAGAATAATGACAGCCTTTTCAAGTTGCTTGCCGATCGTGGAATCTCCAGCGAGAACACAGTTTCAGTTGCGATACCTGGGGCTGCAGTCGGAGAAGCCTTGGCTCAGGCGTCGGCGTTCAGGTTTTCAGATGCAACAACTGTGGCCGTGGGTTACATGGCAATTTTCTCAGCTGTAGTGTTTTATCTGGGGCTGATTGCTTTGATAAGATACAGCCGGGGCGAGCCCATGACTGTTGGAAGAATTCGCGGCGTTGCTTCCATGGCGGAGGCCGCGCCGTCAGTAGCACGGCAGGTGATGGCTGGGGTGAGCTACATGGCTACAGGGGTGAAGGTGGCATTCCTGCTATTCATTGAGCTCGGAGTATTTCCACTGCTGTGTGGATGGTGGTTGGATGTATGCACTCTAGGCATTCGTGACGTCACACTGGCGCAGGCTGTATTATTTTTCTCGTCGTCCCCTTCAATGAGCTCTTTTCTGCACTGGCTCGTGGGGATCGTGTACATGCTGCAGATCAGCATATTCGTGAGTCTATTGCGGGAGGTACTGCATGTTTTTGTTGGAAATTTTTATGCTTTACGTGTATTTGGTCGAGTATGGTTCAGCACCTTTGTTGGTCGTTGTTGCCTGCATGTTGCGGAATATTGTTCTTCGAATGTCTCATATTTCTTTTGTTATTGTCCTATTTGTTTTCTCGCTTGTTTGGTGTTGCTTGTGAAACTGTTGTCAGCGGCTGGTTTGTTCGATTGGACATATACGCTTTGGTGGCACTGTTTTGTAACAAGAAGGAATAATGGGTGCGGATCCGAACGAGGGAGGTGCATGTGGCCTTGTTTGTCACAAATGCTTATTGATCAGATGGTGGTGTCTTGCATCGTAGGTGCTGAAACCGGGGGTTTTGTATTTCCTGCGGGATCCAGCTGACCCAAACTACAACCCATTCCGTGATCTGATCGATGACCCTCTGCACAAGCATGCGCGGCGCGTGCTTCTTTCTGTGGTGGTGTACGGCAGTCTGATTGTGATGCTGGTGTTTTTGCCTGTCCGACTGGCGATTTCGATTGCCCCTCACATGTTTCCACTGGATATAAGGTGAGGGTTCGGCTGCGCCAGTGATTTGAGTAAGCAGTTGCTTGAAGGGGCTGTGCTGATGATGTGTTTAACTTAACGGTGCTTGATACGTCTGAGTTATGTTCATCGGATGGCAAGTTGAGTGGCTTCCGTGGTTGAGAGGGGTGGTCTGGGCTACGGCTCTCGCAAGGTGCAACATCCGCTAAAGGGAACGAATTGTTCTGTTTGTTACAGAGTGTCGGATCCGTTCACGGAGATCCCAGCAGATATGTTGCTATTTCATATCTGTATACCATTTGCTGTGGAGCACTTTAGGCCGCGTGCAACCGTTAAAACCGTCCTGTTTCATTGGTTTTCAACTGTCGGGTGGGCTCTGGGTCTGTCGGAATTTCTACTTCCTGAAGCTGAGCAGGCAAACGGAGTTGGCGGGAATAATAACGAAGAGAGAGGGGTTGGAGGAGAAGAGAGGGACCATAATTTTGATGGCAACCATCCAAGAGGTGGACATGGTGACGTTGCGGGGAGTCGCCACCAGCTGGAAACATCTAGTGTGGATGTGGAGTACGAGGATTCCGACAACGAGGGCGAACACGACACAAACGAGTAAGTAGTTTTTCGCACAAATATACGATGCCCTGGTAGTGCAACCTAAGGTGGGGTAGGGCATAATGAACCACTGCGTCTGGACGGTGAGGTGACGTGCTGGCCTTTGTGTTCGAAGGGGTGGATGTGTACTTGGGATACTTTTTTGGGTTTCATGTGTTCTCGTGATGGTCTGTGTTCGAAGTGCTTATGTTTTGCAGTCGAGTTATGTTGGTTATATTAACCAGAGGGTTCGCAGCTCGGTGGTCTTCAGAAGCCAGGAACCCGAGCAGGCGTGTGATGGGATGGTTTACTCGAGAGCAGTTTGATACTAACGTGCTCTCTCGTTAATTTGGATTGCATGTGGTTGATTTGAGCGCACTGACCGTTGTACTGTTTTGACCATCAGGTACCAGTTTGCATCAAGAATCGTGCTTCTTTTACTGGGAGCATGGGTAACTCTTCTAGCATTCAATTCGACGATGGTGCTGCTTCCTATCTCGATTGGGCGAGTCATATTCACCTCGTTCTCGCGTCTTCCTATAACGCGCGGTGCAAAGTGCAATGGTGAGAAGAGTGCCTGGGCTGCACCAGAATCTGTGACATCTGCAGTCAGTCGTGATCCGCATTCGTCGCCACGTTCTGTTTGGTGGCAAGCTAGAATTGTTGTGTAATTGGTTTAGGAACATGTATGCGTATGACTACGGTGCCCATGGTTCAATCTTAATCTCCTTTTTGGGGAGGTTTTGTATTCGTGGGTGGGGTTGGTGTTTTGAGCTCTCACACGGATGTTTTTTTCTTTTTGTTACAGACTTGTACGCATTCAATATTGGGTGCTACGTGCTTTGGGCCACTGCTGCAGCAATACAATATGTAGTAGGGTATTTGCGGACCCACGACATCCGGGTGTTTTTGCGGCAGGTTGTGAAGTGGTCATCCATCGTAACAAAGAGCTTCGTGCTTCTCTCACTCTGGGTAGGCGCAGTCTCCTCCTCTTGTTCACAACCCTGGTGGTTAGGTTACAACGATTCTATTGGCTGTTCGGATCGAGCAGTCGAATGCTCGGGTGTCAATGAACTTTTTGTTCCATATATTTTGGTGGGATTGCTTCTGCTCGTCGCATCTGATTCGAAGACGATTGTGATCTTTTGGAAAGATATACGAGCAGCTTGGATTTTGGTCATGATGGGTGGACGTCGGGTTTGCAGATTGTGGTGATTCCGGTGCTTATTGGGCTTCTCTTCGAGCTGCTGGTTGTTGTCCCGTTGCGAGTTCCTATTGATGAGAGCCCAGTGTTTCTACTGTACCAAGATTGGGCGTTGGGATTGGTGTTTCTGAAGATCTGGACGAGACTGGTGAGTCCGCACTTGGATGGAGAAGTTGCTTGCTAGTTTAGGGCGTTAGTTGGCACATGGCCACATGGTCACATTGTCATGATGGCGCGTTTGTTTGTTTGTTTGTTACAGGGTTGCTTGGACGTCCCTGGCATGGTGATTGGAATGTCTAGGTATGGTTGTCATATTGTCTAGGAAGCGTGGCATGTCTGAGTTTCTAAGGCCTGCTATTTATTTAACAGGTGATGCTTGGACAGTTCGTGCCACTGGTGGGTGATAGGTGGCGAGTGAAGTTCGAGCAAGTTCGGAACGATGGGTTTTCACATCTAAGGGGTTGGTGGGTATTTACTGCAATCGTGGCTCCAGTTCTCATCCACCTGTTGACAGCTCTGTGCGTGCCTTACGTGTTCGCGCGGGGAGTGTTTCCTCTTCTCGGGTATTCGTTGACGGTAAATTCGGCAGTGTATCGCTATGCTTGGCTGAGTTGCCTGCTGTTCGGAACTGTCTGGTACGGTGGACACCGACTCCACCAATGGTTGTTGGATCTTCACGATACCATCCGCGACGATCGCTACCTTGTGGGACGGCGGCTGCACAATTACGGGGAGCAGAAGAAGGCTCCAGATAGTCCAGGGTCATTGAGGCTGCCATCTGCGGGTAGGACATGTTCTAAAGCTTGGTGTATGCTGCGATTTGCAGATTTGGTCTTGATGGACCCATGGCGCGAGAGTGAGGGCAAGGCGGCTGCTTTCCGAGCAAACAAGCACGGGTTTTGTAGATTTGTAGCAGATGAGGGAGGGAAGAGAGAATTCGTACCAAGTTACAGTGGCAGGCATAGCTACGTAGGAGGGCCTGTTATTGAGATCGGTTTGCAACAAATGTTTACAACTTGTGATTCATGGCAGGATTGGCAGATGCTGAGGAAGGTGCAGACGCGCAAGTAGATGAAGCATCAGAACCAGAGGAGCGGAAAGGCAGTGGAGAGGAATCCGAAGCAGCAGCAGGCCACGCTGGCGGCATTGCAAGTGATTCAGAGAGTGTGATGGACCCTGCAGTGACGGGGGCACAGAGGATAGGGGCGAGCGGTAGCACACTAAAATTCCGGGGTGCTATTAGTCATGAATGCATCAGCAGCTAAGACATTATTCAGCCTTGCAATGTGGTGAATGAATCACATGATGCAGACTTGGAGTTGCACTTTTATGTATAAATGTAGGTAGGTTCGCGGGTTCGCAGAGCAATTTACGTGCCTTCGAGTGGCTGCACATTTCGTCGGACCGATGATGAGTCTGCTGCGATGCAGCAGATCACTGGGACTCGTTGCTACAACTGGCTTAACCTCGCCAGTCTACAGTGCTCTCCGTGATGTGATGTTAGACCCTTCCATGTCATGGAGATTTCGTGCAGAGGGAGCGGACATGGAAACTTAGTAGGTAGTGTAGCTCCTGTTAAATTCAACCCCATTTTATTGTACTATCACTCTCTGGGCAGTTTATATCAAGTAAGCCTTGTGACATAAAGATGTCTATATTTTACCAGAAAGGTTGTAGATTCTTGTCTTCTTCTTTTGGGACTTGAATTTCTCAGGACAGTTGGCCTGGTGGCATGCGGGCAATGCCTGAAGTGATGTTTGAGTTTACTGGGAGGACAGCGAAGGGACTACTGTATTATTTGGCTCGACATACCAACCCTGTGCCGCATTTGTTTGGTTTTGAGCGTTGTCCTTACACGGTTTGAATGTCTGAGCCGACCTTATCCTGAACTTTTTTATACGGTATGGGTGGAGGACGAAGGGCCCTTGTTAGTGACACAAACCTCAAGGGTTTCACATTTTGTGAATTTCTATCGTTGTCTTACTAGGGTTGACAAAACTGCTACAGCTGGACATGCGAAGTGAAGTGCTCTAACCGTCGAGGGCGATGGATGTTAGTCTCCCCTGAATTTCAAAAGTTTTGTGATCATCTTAATGCTTGTTAACAAGGTTGATCTAATTGAAGGAAGGCAAACAATGTCATTCAAATCTGTTTGTGCTCAGGACACGACATCTTACTCTAAATTGCAAATCCTTTAACCAAAAATTCTTAAATCTTGATTTTAATAATTAAATTTAAATTATTACTTTTATATATATATATATTTATATATATTAAACTATCTGTGATAATTATATCTAAGACTAAGTAAAACTTCAATATATTGACTTTTTTCTCAATAAAACTCTTTGAATTTATGAGTGTAAATTTACACTCTCAAGCCTACAAATGAGGTGAATTTTGTATGTTTCAATGTCATCTAATCATGTATTTTAAATGTCTACAAAGCTATTAATGGACTTAAGTTAAAGATTCTGGATATCAGTTACAAGGGTGTATCCAAATTTATGATTAAGAATTTAGAGGTTTAATATCTAAAGGTTAAAGGTCCAGGATTAGGGTTTAAAATCTGTTTAGTTACTTTTTTCATTTATTTTTAGATTTTGACTTGAATTATTATCCCTTTTTCAAGGTCTACAATTTTAATCACGTACAAACCTTATTTTATAAATTCAAAGTTTGCAGGTTATACCACCGTTGAACTAAACTTGAGAATTATTACTAATTTAAAGAAGTATTTTATAGAGTTTTACTATTATAGTTCAAAAATCTAAGAACGGATTTTATAACTCTAAAAAAATCCGATATAAAACCCAAACATCACTTCAGGCATTGCCCGCATGCCACCAGGCCAACTGTCCTGAGAAATTCAAGTCCCAAAAGAAGAAGACAAGAATCTACAACCTTTCTGGTAAAATATAGACATCTTTATGTCACAAGGCTTACTTGATATAAACTGCCCAGAGAGTGATAGTACAATAAAATGGGGTTGAATTTAACAGGAGCTACACTACCTACTAAGTTTCCATGTCCGCTCCCTCTGCACGAAATCTCCATGACATGGAAGGGTCTAACATCACATCACGGAGAGCACTGTAGACTGGCGAGGTTAAGCCAGTTGTAGCAACGAGTCCCAGTGATCTGCTGCATCGCAGCAGACTCATCATCGGTCCGACGAAATGTGCAGCCACTCGAAGGCACGTAAATTGCTCTGCGAACCCGCGAACCTACCTACATTTATACATAAAAGTGCAACTCCAAGTCTGCATCATGTGATTCATTCACCACATTGCAAGGCTGAATAATGTCTTAGCTGCTGATGCATTCATGACTAATAGCACCCCGGAATTTTAGTGTGCTACCGCTCGCCCCTATCCTCTGTGCCCCCGTCACTGCAGGGTCCATCACACTCTCTGAATCACTTGCAATGCCGCCAGCGTGGCCTGCTGCTGCTTCGGATTCCTCTCCACTGCCTTTCCGCTCCTCTGGTTCTGATGCTTCATCTACTTGCGCGTCTGCACCTTCCTCAGCATCTGCCAATCCTGCCATGAATCACAAGTTGTAAACATTTGTTGCAAACCGATCTCAATAACAGGCCCTCCTACGTAGCTATGCCTGCCACTGTAACTTGGTACGAATTCTCTCTTCCCTCCCTCATCTGCTACAAATCTACAAAACCCGTGCTTGTTTGCTCGGAAAGCAGCCGCCTTGCCCTCACTCTCGCGCCATGGGTCCATCAAGACCAATCTGCAAATCGCAGCATACACCAAGCTTTAGAACATGTCCTACCCGCAGATGGCAGCCTCAATGACCCTGGACTATCTGGAGCCTTCTTCTGCTCCCCGTAATTGTGCAGCCGCCGTCCCACAAGGTAGCGATCGTCGCGGATGGTATCGTGAAGATCCAACAACCATTGGTGGAGTCGGTGTCCACCGTACCAGACAGTTCCGAACAGCAGGCAACTCAGCCAAGCATAGCGATACACTGCCGAATTTACCGTCAACGAATACCCGAGAAGAGGAAACACTCCCCGCGCGAACACGTAAGGCACGCACAGAGCTGTCAACAGGTGGATGAGAACTGGAGCCACGATTGCAGTAAATACCCACCAACCCCTTAGATGTGAAAACCCATCGTTCCGAACTTGCTCGAACTTCACTCGCCACCTATCACCCACCAGTGGCACGAACTGTCCAAGCATCACCTGTTAAATAAATAGCAGGCCTTAGAAACTCAGACATGCCACGCTTCCTAGACAATATGACAACCATACCTAGACATTCCAATCACCATGCCAGGGACGTCCAAGCAACCCTGTAACAAACAAACAAACAAACGCGCCATCATGACAATGTGACCATGTGGCCATGTGCCAACTAACGCCCTAAACTAGCAAGCAACTTCTCCATCCAAGTGCGGACTCACCAGTCTCGTCCAGATCTTCAGAAACACCAATCCCAACGCCCAATCTTGGTACAGTAGAAACACTGGGCTCTCATCAATAGGAACTCGCAACGGGACAACAACCAGCAGCTCGAAGAGAAGCCCAATAAGCACCGGAATCACCACAATCTGCAAACCCGACGTCCACCCATCATGACCAAAATCCAAGCTGCTCGTATATCTTTCCAAAAGATCACAATCGTCTTCGAATCAGATGCGACGAGCAGAAGCAATCCCACCAAAATATATGGAACAAAAAGTTCATTGACACCCGAGCATTCGACTGCTCGATCCGAACAGCCAATAGAATCGTTGTAACCTAACCACCAGGGTTGTGAACAAGAGGAGGAGACTGCGCCTACCCAGAGTGAGAGAAGCACGAAGCTCTTTGTTACGATGGATGACCACTTCACAACCTGCCGCAAAAACACCCGGATGTCGTGGGTCCGCAAATACCCTACTACATATTGTATTGCTGCAGCAGTGGCCCAAAGCACGTAGCACCCAATATTGAATGCGTACAAGTCTGTAACAAAAAGAAAAAAACATCCGTGTGAGAGCTCAAAACACCAACCCCACCCACGAATACAAAACCTCCCCAAAAAGGAGATTAAGATTGAACCATGGGCACCGTAGTCATACGCATACATGTTCCTAAACCAATTACACAACAATTCTAGCTTGCCACCAAACAGAACGTGGCGACGAATGCGGATCACGACTGACTGCAGATGTCACAGATTCTGGTGCAGCCCAGGCACTCTTCTCACCATTGCACTTTGCACCGCGCGTTATAGGAAGACGCGAGAACGAGGTGAATATGACTCGCCCAATCGAGATAGGAAGCAGCACCATCGTCGAATTGAATGCTAGAAGAGTTACCCATGCTCCCAGTAAAAGAAGCACGATTCTTGATGCAAACTGGTACCTGATGGTCAAAACAGTACAACGGTCAGTGCGCTCAAATCAACCACATGCAATCCAAATTAACGAGAGAGCACGTTAGTATCAAACTGCTCTCGAGTAAACCATCCCATCACACGCCTGCTCGGGTTCCTGGCTTCTGAAGACCACCGAGCTGCGAACCCTCTGGTTAATATAACCAACATAACTCGACTGCAAAACATAAGCACTTCGAACACAGACCATCACGAGAACACATGAAACCCAAAAAAGTATCCCAAGTACACATCCACCCCTTCGAACACAAAGGCCAGCACGTCACCTCACCGTCCAGACGCAGTGGTTCATTATGCCCTACCCCACCTTAGGTTGCACTACCAGGGCATCGTATATTTGTGCGAAAAACTACTTACTCGTTTGTGTCGTGTTCGCCCTCGTTGTCGGAATCCTCGTACTCCACATCCACACTAGATGTTTCCAGCTGGTGGCGACTCCCCGCAACGTCACCATGTCCACCTCTTGGATGGTTGCCATCAAAATTATGGTCCCTCTCTTCTCCTCCAACCCCTCTCTCTTCGTTATTATTCCCGCCAACTCCGTTTGCCTGCTCAGCTTCAGGAAGTAGAAATTCCGACAGACCCAGAGCCCACCCGACAGTTGAAAACCAATGAAACAGGACGGTTTTAACGGTTGCACGCGGCCTAAAGTGCTCCACAGCAAATGGTATACAGATATGAAATAGCAACATATCTGCTGGGATCTCCGTGAACGGATCCGACACTCTGTAACAAACAGAACAATTCGTTCCCTTTAGCGGATGTTGCACCTTGCGAGAGCCGTAGCCCAGACCACCCCTCTCAACCACGGAACCCACTCAACTTGCCATCCGATGAACATAACTCAGACGTATCAAGCACCGTTAAGTTAAACACATCATCAGCACAGCCCCTTCAAGCAACTGCTTACTCAAATCACTGGCGCAGCCGAACCCTCACCTTATATCCAGTGGAAACATGTGAGGGGCAATCGAAATCGCCAGTCGGACAGGCAAAAACACCAGCATCACAATCAGACTGCCGTACACCACCACAGAAAGAAGCACGCGCCGCGCATGCTTGTGCAGAGGGTCATCGATCAGATCACGGAATGGGTTGTAGTTTGGGTCAGCTGGATCCCGCAGGAAATACAAAACCCCCGGTTTCAGCACCTACGATGCAAGACACCACCATCTGATCAATAAGCATTTGTGACAAACAAGGCCACATGCACCTCCCTCGTTCGGATCCGCACCCATTATTCCTTCTTGTTACAAAACAGTGCCACCAAAGCG